CACAAGGTTTAACACACTCCCATTTTATTGTTAGTTCTTTCAGTGTTTGGGAATAATATAGGCCAAGTTTCTGATTTATCAAATAGGCATCATTTACATGTGGTGGTGATGTGTGCATGTCTTTAAATACAAAGCATAGAATGAGTTGTTTTTGCATCTTAGTACCAATAAATGGTCTTTTTGTATTGGGAAGGAAGTTTTGAGCTTTGACAGTTACAGCATGTTTTGATGTTGCAATGAACTGTTTCAAAATATCAAGGAAAATTAGATTTGTCATGAGAAACCATACCATAGTCACACATATTGCCTAATTTTAAAGATCTACCATATAAATTCAGGTGATTTAGCTTGATCTAACCATCTATTTCTTGATCTAATTTTAATCTTACGTGGAGCATGAACAAAAGCACTGCAGCTTTTAAACATTAATGCAAATCTGGCCGAGATGCATGATCGCCGTATGCATTGGGGTGTTAAATAAAAGCTGTCCCCTCTATGTGCTGGAACAAGGTACAAGACTGAGGACTGGCAAACAGATGCTCCAGTCCTACTTAATGAGTGAATAGATGGTTTACAAGCATTCCTTTATACTTACATGCACAAACACAGACATGCATGCAAATGTCTGCATGTCTGCATGTCGTCTCTGCATGTCAAAGACGACATGCACAAACACAGAGCATATATTTGCATGCATGTCTGTGTTTGTGCATGTCTGTGTTTATACTTACATGCACAAACACAGACATGCATGCAAATATATGCTCTGATGCATCATTATCAATACACAATCAGTGTGAAAGTATATTGAAATGACTGGTGTGTTGATGCTCAGCCATGGACACACCCGTGTGCTTAGTGTTGTGGTTGTCACCATAGAGACGTCTGTGCCCTGCACAGGGTTTGAAGAGTGCAGCTCTGTAATTAAAAGCTGGATGTGGGCCTTTTATTAAACACACTTGTCCTGCAGGGCTCCCTGTGCAGAACGTATAAGCAGTGCACAACCCATGTAGAAAGTGCTGTTGATACTGCAACATGAAGTTTGTTGTTCACACTATAGTGTTTGTTTGAGCATTATTGATAAAAAATGGTCAGTTATGTGCCTGTTAAAGTGGTAGTTCATGCAAAAAGGAAAAAGCTGTAATTATTTAATAGTCTCATATTGTTCCAAATTTGTATGACTTTCTTTCTGCAGAACACAAAAGTAAAACATTATTTTGAAACATTTTCGCCATTACAGTGAATAAACGGTTGAAGGTTTTAAGTTTCGAAAAGCACTGAAAGTGTCATAAAAATGATCTATATGACTTGTGGGCTATAGTCAAGCCATATGATAGGTCTGTGAGAAAGAAACAGAACTAAAGTCCTTTTTCACTGATAAGCTTATCAATAACCCTTTTGTGAAGATCGCTGATAGGAGGCAGCACATTCAAATTGAAAACTGAATCGGTCTGAATTGGGAACTAATCAGTCAGACCAATTTTGTGAACCGAATCAAATGATGAATTGAAAAGAGTTCAAAAGACCAATTCATTCCTAAATTAGATATCATGATTATGATTGCTGGGATAGATATCAAGATTTTCAGTGAATAACAAATAACATTTTTGGTTTACTGACATTAATGTCATAAAGCTGACATTTCAAAACTTGGAACATTTGGAAATATAGTGCAAGAGTCATATAGACTACTTCTATTATAGTTTAATTATGCTCTTTTGTCATTTTGGAGAATGATAGCCTCAGTTCCCATTACATTAAATTGAAAAGAGTGTCCAGAAAGACCAAAACAAAAAGAAGTTCATGAGGGTGAATAAATATAATGAAAGAAGTTTCTTAGTTGAAAATGAAAATTTGTCATCATTTACTCATCCTCTTGTGGTTCCAAACCTGTATGAGTTTCTTTGTTCTGATGAATACAAAAAAGATATGGGCAATGTTGGTAACCAGTTGCTGGTAGCCATTGACTTCCATAGATTTTTTCCCATACTATGGAAGTCAGTGGGGACCAGCAACTGTAACAGTTAAGAGCATTCTTCAAAAGATCTTCTTTTGTGTTTAACAGAAGAAAGAAGCTCATACAGGTTTGGAGCAACTTGGGTGAGTAAATAATTCTTGGGTGAACTGTCCCTTTAACTAGATAAGATCAATGTACCATGTTGACTTGAGAAATGAGACTTCTTGTTCTTTAGACTTTGTGAAACTTTAACATTTCAACATTGCGCTGTCAACAGGAACTACTCTTTGGCTGAATCTGGAAGGGAAGTTTGAGTGCAGATACAAACATTATACAGCGGCCTTTGACGCACAGCATTTGGATAATCGCACCATCATCCACTTCCACAAAGGTGTTCTTCCTGAATGCATGATGAAATTACTGGTTGTAAATAACACTGCTATACCATATGCACGTGCAAACATATCAGAACGGGAAATACTAAAGTTATTGCAATAAAACACTTGTGCAGCAGCTCAATTATGTGCATTTAAATAGTGACCACAGTTGAAAAGGCTGTCTACAAACATATGGTCAACGAAGAGTGTGGATTTTGTCCTTGAAGGAGTGCCACACACTTCAGGCAGTGACATAATTTACCCTTGAGGCATTAGGATAGTATTTGAAACGTCGTCGTATTGGTCTTCAAAATTAAATTATGTCATGATAAGAACAACTCAGTTGTTGTGTATCACTAGTTGTAGGTGAGGATGACATCTAGTGGTCAGCAGACGAACTGCAGCTTACAAACTGTAACCCACATGGCACAAATCCTCATTCATTCTGTAATAAACTACAATATTGGTATTATAATTCTTTTATGGTTTGATATAAATGCAGCATGTCATCTTTCAAAATAATGGCTTTGCTTGTGGCCTGAAAACCTGCCTATTTACTTTAAATCAATAAATTCTAAATCAGTTTTGAAGGTTATAAGATCATGAAAATGCTACGCACATTAACGGGTTAGAAAATAACACACATTTATGATCGCCCTGAAATATTGAATACATTCCTGTAGCCCCATCACGTTCAATATTTCTCTTCTTTTAGTAGCTCTAATCTCAGAGTTTATCCTATATATGGAAGCAGACCTGTATGAATTCTTTAGGTGGGAGTGTTCATCATTTTATTTATGTGTATTTGAGGCCACACTCTTTGATGTTTCTGTCTCAGGTGATGAAAGATTAAGCGGGCTGTTTGAGGAGCCGTTCTGGCAGGGGTGGGTGGGCTGTTAGGTAATAAACCATCAGGCGGAGTCAGAAGAGTTGTTTATAGAGCGCAGCGCTCCGTCAGAGATACAGAGCTGTAGTTTCATCTAGCTGTGGGAAGTTGTGCTTAATATCCTGAGATTTTTAATAACGCTCAAACGCAGAGATGACTACCATGTTCAGATACACCGTGTTTCCAGTCTTTCCAGGTGAGATTTGGGGGGGTTGAATGCATGCAATTAGTTGATAAATAACATGGAAATGCACTTTAAGTGCAGTTTTAGGTTAAATGTATATTAATGTATAAGGGAACGTGTAGATGCAGTGATTGAAAACTGTTTTATTCACCTTTTAGATTTATTTCAGTTCATTCAAATAGTCCTGCAAAATAAATGTTTAAAATGTCTCTCAATTGATGTAGTTAAAAAGTATTTTATCTCTTTAGTTATTATATTTTTTATTATTAATTTATATTTGTATTATTAATTATTAGAATAGTTAAAGAAAACATACTTTGTTGACCTAAATGCACTTAATGTATGATGGTTTTTGCTTGTAATTTCACAGTGTTAGGATGTGTGTCACATGGACACTGTTATCAAGTGATGAGATCATGTTTATTCAGATATAGTTTATCAGCCTTTCAACTGATATGGAGCTGTGTGCTGAATGATACATGCTTGTTTGTTACTATAAAACTAATGTCTAGTATCCGGCTATAAACAAATAACCATGTGAGATAACAGTCACATGGGTTCATCATTCATCATCTTTTATTATTACAATAAATGATAAGATAAACCAGTGAGAGAGAGAGAGCTTTATTTATTCACTGATATGACAGTTTCAGTGAAACTAAAATAATGGATTTCCCCTATATATCCTCATTGTTATTATTTTGGAAATAATTGTTTAAAAAAAGAAAGAAAAAAAATCATTGGTTTTACCTGGAGAGCAGTGATCATAATGTGATTATATGCACATATTATTTAATAGTCAGTTATTTTGTTTTGTGCTTTTGACACTATGATTTGGGCTTTTTATTTTATAATTTAAAATATTTTATAATTTTATTTTTGACATTAAAATGCAAATACTCTAGGAAATATGGTTTATGCTTTTTAAACGCTAGATTTATCTTGTATAATGTTTACGTGGAGTGTTTAATTGTTGCATATGTTGCTATGTCAGTAAACACTGAAGCTGTTGTTATGATACAGCGTAGCATGTTTTTGTCCTGACTGTGGTCTGTGTACATAGTATTTATACTTGTATTGAGCTTATAAATGGGCATTTTAAAAGACCACATTAAAAGAAAGTTAATGTGTTTTTTGCCCCATTCATCAGATCGGTTACTGTGGTTTTTTTAAAAGGAAAAATGAAAAACATATTTTAAGTGAAGTGAGTGACGTGACATGTGGCCAAGTATGGTGACCCATACTCGGAATTAGTGCTCTGCATTTACCCATCCAAAGTGCACACACACAGCAGTGAACACACACAAACCGTGAACACACACCCGGAGCAGTGGGCAGCCATTTATGCTGCGGCGCCCGGGGAGCAGTTGGGGGTTTGGTGCCTTGCTCAAGGGCACCTCAGTCGTGATATTGAAGGTGGAAGAGAGCGCTGTACATTCACTCCCCCCACCTACAATCCCTGCCGGTACGAGACTCGAACCCACAACCTTTGGGTTATGAGTCCGACTCTCTAACCATTAGGCCACAACTTCCCCTTCCCCTTTTCATTTAATTGCTATTGATGTTAAAATAGGTGTGTTTATGTCTTTTTCTCAGGTCTGGACCAGACAGACATACCAGAGGGACTGTCCCGTGCGCGGAGCATTATGGCAGAGCCAGACTATATGGACTGTGATAGCGATGAAATCGTTAAGCCCAAGAAACTCCTCAACCCAGTGAAGTCCTCCAGAAATCACCAGGACTTACACAGAGAGCTCCTCATGAACCAGAAGAGGTGATGCACATACAGCCTACATTAGATCAGTCCTCTCAGTCCTCTTTCACTGTCTTTCCTCTCAGAATTCACTTTCTTTTTTGGCAATTATGTGCGGACGTGCCATTTCTAAACTTATTTTTATTTAGGACTTTAAAGCTGAAACAGCCATCAATGCCATCCTTTTTCATATAAACATATATAAGGAAAAATTTGTTATAGAAATAATCCCTGACAAGGTGATCGGGACCCTTAAATTAAGTTTATTAGGGTTTATTTTTATTATAATTGACTGTACATTATCCCACATGGCATGAAACTAGCATAGCTATATAGGAAATGCAGTCATTACATTAAAATATTTGACCACATTTGACCAATTAGAATAAAGTATTCTGTGATAAATGCCTGTATGACTTGTTATGCGTCATATAAAGATCAATTTCTGCCAGTCCACTGTTTCACAGATGAGTTCTTAAAAAAAAAAAATAGAGTCATTCTGAAAGCTGATTCTACCTAGAGGACTTTCTGGACAAGATGAATGATTTCCCCCCGTCAGATCTGGCTGTGTTTGTGTGCTGTATCTAGGCAGACAGGAACCGGGAAAAAATGCACTGGAAACAATAAGTTTGAGTCACTCGTTTTAGTCCTCTCGTTCTTTTTTCCTCTGTCTCTCTCATTCTCATTGGTGATGAATTGCGACAGAAAAGGTATACACATGCTCCCTATTACATAAAGCAGTTTTTTCTTTTTCAGTTGGAAGTTATTAGGAAGATCCCTTGAGGTTCTTGCAGCTTTGGTGTGAATAAGAACGGATAAGTCACAGCACAAGTCATTTATGTTGCAATAAACTTATAACACACGCATTCTACCAGCATGATTACATAAAATCCTGTTCTCTGATTCTCACCTCCCACATTAGTTGAGCATGAAGAGAAGAGTTTGTAGAATTCCTACAGATATCAGAATCCTCTGTTGGGGATTTATTCCAGTAATTCCCAATTAGGTGTACTGTATGTGTATACTTAAGCAGGTTCCAGGCAGAAAAGATTTGAGTCTATGTTACCTTATCTTGATACAGATTTGTAAAAATGACTGTGTGGCTTGTGGGTGATATTTTGCACTTGTTGAGCTTGTATGGTTTAAAATACACAACACCGAGACTGCAAGTGAAATTACTTTTGATAAACATCCTATTTGGTTTCATTTACAAATAGATTTGGTGTAAGTAAAAATTGCCATGACTATATTATTATTGATAATTAGTATTTTTATTTATAATTTTTATATATTTAATAATGTTTATTTTAAATGTATATGTGTGGAAATCATGAAGAGCCTCAAGAAAGAGGAGCTATCATTTCAATTTTCACACTTTTTGTATTTTTCCTTAAGATGTTAGTGAGTCTTACTTGATAGAGAGTGGGGAATTGAGTGTGTGCGCATGTTTTGGTTTAGGAAAAGGGAACCGTTCTGTAATCTAAATGGGATTAGTTCCAGATGTGGTGCTCAGAGGGATGCTGAAAGATGTAGAGTTACATAAGAAGGATTACAGCATCCTTTTAGACTTTCTTCCCACCCTTTCTCTGTTCTCTTTCTCTGACGCCCACCTTCTGTCTGCCTCCCACCCTGCTGTACACAAACACTCGAAGTGTTTTTGTACACTCAGAATGTTATGAAATCACATCTACAGCCAGGACAGAAGGTGAAGAACACAGAGTGATGGAGAGATAGAGGTCAGGCTATATATAGTCTGTTGCATCATATATTAAATAATGTATTGAGTTGGGGGGCCGGGGTGGGCTTTTATGTAATCGAGGCCAACCTCTTCTTTGCTTTCTGTTTATTTCTGTCACTGTTCATCTGTATCCTTTTCTTTTTTTCTGTCATTTTGCCTAGCTGTCTTTGAGTAACCACACATAATGATAAAGTGACTGTTTCTAGCAGTTACCAAGGGACCAGTGTGTTCCTGTTATATAATCAGTGACGCCACACACTGGCATTCTTGAAGATGTTTGTACTTCAGAAATTCACAGAACAATAGTATTTTTAAGCTTTTCATCCCAGTTACAGTTACATGATGCAGCTAAACCATCAGTCTTAAAGGGATAGTTCACCTAAAAAATTACATTTTTGTAATAATTTACTCACCCTCATGTCATTTCAAATTTGTATGACCGACTTTCTTCCAAATATTATATCAAAAATCTAGTGTAGCGTTAGTTCTGGCAGGTCACGTTAGTCAAGCTCACATCAGCTGACTCTCAGATGCTCACCATCAACCTATGGGAATACGACACCTATCTAACCATTCATATATAAGGTCCCTCAGTATTATCAGCAGTTTTCGCATTACTCAATAGCTAATTACCCTCCTCCATCCCCAGCTCCTCCTCTGTCAGTCAGGATTCAGCCTCCTGATTCTCCTGTGAATCAGACTAATTCTAAAATGTGTACATAACATTATTGAACTTTAACGATAGTTAAGGGGGGGCGGGGGATCGCTGCTCTCCCTGCATTTATCCATGCTAGGCTGCATGGATGCGCAGGGAGTTCTTGCCCAGAACAGAACCATACCGCCAATCCAAACTGTATGCTAATTGTCAATCATCTTTGACGATAGTGGTCCTGACAGAACAACACTGATGGAAATGACATGATGGTGAGTAAATGATAGCAGCATTTTAAACTATCCCTTTACACCCAGTTTTAGCAAGATAGTTTGTTATTCTATAGACACGTCACTCGAGAAATTTCACTTGTTTACTCAGACCCGCCCATTGTTCCTGTTATAGCTGAACGACAAAGAGAAAACAGCCATAAAGCCACACCTATGGACAAAAGCACATCCTTATCTTAATATTGGCTTGAATAAAGACAATAACTTTCAGAAAACTCACTGGTCACAAGATGCCAATGAAGTATTTACTTTGGAAAGGCTGCATTTACACATTGTTAGAGCCTGACTGTGGTAATGGGGTTATTTTTTAATTTATTTTTTAAACATTTTAGTTTAGACTAGAATAGTTTAGACTCAGAGTAGAGAATAGTCAAATAACAAAATGACAAAAGCAGAGTTTTAAGACCAGTTGGATTGTAGTTCTATATTTGGGATGGAAACAACATATATTAGCTTCTGCTTGGCAACACAGATTGCTAATGGATTTAATCATTAATAAGAAATGTGCCCTGAATCATAAACCAATCATTGTTTCCTCTTATCATGTTTGTGGAATATATCTGATCTGTAATTGGTCTCATAAAGTTACCTGCACAACAGACACATTCCACTCATGTGATCAATGCCTGATGTGCTGCTGTTGTTCTTACTTCTGAGAAGAGAGAATAGTTGGAGGGAGAAAGTAAAATACTGTTCAGAAACTAAATCAGTGACATGACACACAAATGGAGAACAGACAGAAGTGTGTTATTTTTTTTTTACACTCACCTGGCAGAGATTCTCATAATTCCATTTTTTGGAGCCATATAGTTATATAACTGCTGTCCAAATAGCCAAAACATTTCATCTCCCATTTTCTCAGCTCTGATATTTTCATCTGCTCCTCTCATTTTTTCTTCATAGTCTAGACAAGTCTACAAGTTTTGGAAGGATGGACAAAACTGTTGACATGTCTCTGGTGTGCCAGGCAGAGAGCTGGAATAAGTTGCTGTCAGTGTTTTAGTATTACTTATGTAATATTTTATTAATATTTAGAATTAACTTTCTAGTAGTTTTTGTGCTTTTGTCATTTTTATAATTAAATTAGTTATAGCATTACTTTTTATTTCATTGTTTTAGTTTTAGCAGTTTTAATACTTAAACGTTTATTTTGGTTGGTTTTAAAGGAGACATATTATGCCCCTTTTTACAATATGCAATATAAGTCTCAGGTGTCCCCAGAATGTGTCTGTGAAGTTTCAGCTCAAAATACTCCACAGATCATTTATTATTTATTATAACATTTTGAAAATGCCTATTTTGAGTGGAAGTAGAAACGCGCTGTTTTTCATGCATGTCTCTTTAAATGCAAATTAGCTGCTGCTCCCCGCCCCCTTTTCCAGAATAGAGCTGTGCCATTACAGCTCGTACCTGCTAAAAAAACATAAACCATATTAGTTAAAACTTCTGATATATGGTTTTCTGAGAGCACACATCTGAAGCACATGTACAGAAAGCGGCTGTCACAGCATGTGAGTACTAAACTAAGTTCTCTTTCAAACACAAGTTTACGTTAAAAACACACGAGTTACAAAAAACAGTCGGTCGTGTCTGTGAAGGTAAACAGCTGGGAAATAAATAGCATGTTTATTTTAGATCTGTGTGGCAGCAGCAATATACATTAAATAAATCAATAAATCCAACAGTGTTCTGTGCTCGTCAGTGCAGCCAAAGACAGAACAGTTAGCAAGCTTTGCTTAAACTTTTGCCATGGCATTAGAACTGCTACACCGTTGTCGCTTGTGAAATCAAAATGACGGTGCCATGGGTGGAAACGTGCAGATTAAGGGGTGGTAATATTATTATGAGATGCCTTTGCAACGTCACTAGGGGAGCAAAATCAGACGCGCTTGTTTTTTCCAGACGCTTGCAGAAAAAGGCTTACCAAAACAAAGTTACTGGGTTAATCTTTTTCACATTTCCTTGGTTGGTAGATGCACCGGGGACCTGATTATAGCACTTAAAACCTGGAAAAGTCAGATTTTCATGATATGTCACCTTTAAAGATCTAACATTTATATTTTATTTTATGTTAGCTTTATTTCAATTACCAAAAAATATTTTTTAATAGTTTTAGTTAACAACACTGGTTGTTGTTGTAATAGATAGATGGATGGATTTTTATCATTATTGAATTCATTATAAAATCAGTTGACTATTCTAAATATGTGTTTCTCTGAAATTCATTACATATGAACTAGAAGTGTTTCATAAACAACTGGTTTCTGGCTTGTTAATTTGGAGAAACATGGGATTGAGAATTACGCAACAAAGATGTCACAGAAAAGTACTGTAATTTAAAGAGTTAATCTCCATACGCTCTAAATGTAAACCAGCCTTTGGTCATCATAAACCAATTCCAATCCCTTAAACCCATCCAGGAATCCATCCATACTGGATTACAGTATGTGGGGCAGTCAGGATTTTCACAGCGACATCTTCACAGTCATATTTTGTAACTCTATGGATTATTATCCCTAAACTGTTCAGGAGTCATCTCCTCTTTTGCTCTCATTAAATCAGACCTCTGATCGAAATGGAAGCTGTTATGGTTTTAAACTAACCCCAAATCCTAAATGTTAAATTTCAAAGTGCCGCTTTTGTGCTCAAATTATGAAACTATCTGATGAGAGGTGTGCTGATACTTTTCTAAGCAATCAGACTTATATATTTTTTTTTCTGGTGACTGATGATAAAATGAACAAAAAGTCCCATAGACTTGCTTTGAAGGAGGTACCTGAGCCACATCTTACGGTGCATCTGAAATCGCGTACTGTCCGAGTAGGTACTACATTTGAATTTGAACTTCCTTTGCAACCGTTAAAAAAGTATGTTCTGTATAGTATGAATGTGGGTAGTATGAATGTAATTTGGACATACTATATCCGCCATGTCATGTGACCTACCAGTGTCAGTTGCGTTGCTTCACTGCCATTCATATATCCTCTCCCATGGCCTCATGGGATAGTAAAGTGTCCATCGAATACACACTTCAGAATCTCGCCGGGAGTAGTAGGTCATCCGGGTACTTCTTGCCTACCGTTTTTGGAATACTATTCAGACATAATACATCATACTGTCGAGTTTTGCAGGGCCAGTAACCACACAGTTTTTCATAAACTCAAAAATTCTGGATACTTATTGTCAAGTGTCTCATCGTCTCGTTGTTTTTCTTATCACAGGGGCCTTGCACCGCAGAATAAACCAGAACTCCAGAAAGTGATGGAAAATAGGAAGAGAGAGCAGGTGCTGAAGGCTCAGAAAGAGGAGCAGGAGGCACACAAGAAAAGGTCAGACCTTGAGATCGAGCTCATGAAGAGACGAGAGACCCTCGAACAGGTATGTTTCCTCACACACAAAGACATAGACGTATAATGGGCATATCCAGAAATGATTGACTGAAATAGTCTTCTCGTTTAGCTGGAATTGGAGCAACATAAGAACGAAGAGGAGCAAGAAAACACCCCAGAGTTTGTCAAAATGAAAAGCAATCTGAGAAGAACCAAACAGGAAGTGGACGGGCAGGAGCGTACCACCTAGAAACAGTTTCCATGGCACATTTGTTTACATGGTAACTGGACTGTGGTTTGTGGGGATTTCCTGGTGTTCCTCCCCCATGTGTCCCTGTGAAACAAGTGACTGTAGATGAACGGTTCCTGTTGCCTGCTCGCAGACACAACCAGTATTCACGCTGCATCTTTTCCTGAACAACGATCGCAAATAAAGAGGATTGACACGCATACACACAAACTATTGCACATGGGCGCAGCCTCTTTGCTACTGGTTGACCGGCTTCAAAGAACATGCATGGCGGAACAAACAGAGACCACATTATTACTTTGTTGGGTTTTTTTTTTTTTTTTGGAGGGGGGGGCACATTTTTTTACTATTTTTTTTTAAAAACCTGAAAT